GCTTATTCAATTTTTGCAAAACAATAAGCAAAAGATGTCTTAAGTGCACTCTTCCAAAAAATCATGCTCAAAATAAAGCAGAATGAAACAAAACAAAATACACATGATTCTACGGTTATATTATGCAGCTTGTTGTCTAAAATGAAAGAAAATAGTGGATTTTCTATTCTAACTAAAGATAGTTGTTCCCTAATCTGAAAATCTATATATCAAGCTTGAGAGTGAATAACACTTTAATTGGGGGATATTTTATGAAGTTTGAGGTAAGAAATTCTGCCTGGTATTTTCCCAACTTTTTCTTTTCTTGCTGGGGGCAACTCAGTACTTACATTACACTAATGCTACATTTCTAGAAAAGAGGCATGGGTTAAATCAACCATTTTTTAAAAACCAACACCAGCTTAACTGTTTAACCCTAAACAAAGAGAGACGTTGAAATCCTAAATATTATTTAATATGGGCATTATTAAAGACTTACTTTCTGTAAAGTCTAGAAAATGGATCCATAAGATATGTTGTAATACATCTGAATGCATTTTATTTAATTAAGCAAATATTCAATTAGTAAGATTTGACAGAGGAATTGCACACCTGGTCACGGTCAGCAGAGTGGCCTACTGGTCATTTCCTGGTAATAGAGACTTTGTTTACTTTGCTTACAAGTAAAGAAAGATTTATTTTGGAAAACAGTTGTTTCAAAATCCTATCTGCAAATTTGGAATTTTTTAAAGTATGAAAATAATTCAAGATGTCTTTAGTTCAAAGTAGCAGATCTTCATGATTTCTCCTTTTAAAAAGGCTTCTCTCTTGGTCTCTTCCCCTCTCTCTCTCTCTCTCTCTCTCTCTCTTTCTCTTTCACACACACACACACACACACACACACACACACACTGCCTCCAGTATTCTATAATCAACCATAATGTAACAAAAGTGAATGATATCTTCAGGGTATAGGGGAAAGAACACTGTCCTATGGTGTTAGGAACTCTGAATTCTCTGTAAGAAGTTAACTATGCAATCTCAGACACTCCATTTAACATTTTGAGTCTCACTTTCCCCATCCATAAAATGAGAATGTTAGGCTAAATACTCTCTAAAGCTCTAAACTTACAAACCTATGTATTTGAATAGAAATAGAAAAGGTTTTTTGGTGGAAGTTATTCACATACAAAACAGGATTCACCATTTGGTAATTCACAGGGTAGGAATGGAAAGGCAGCATTCCCTCCTTGAGAACAGAAGTCAAGCACAGTTTTGTAACATAAAAGACACAATCACAAATATTTGTTGAATTAACAAAATATGCATTATAGTAAATCCAGACCTGTGTTCTAATATTCTGATCACCAGATCTCCATCAATCCTAATCCAAAGGAGTCTAGCTAATGTGTATCCAGCTTAGATAGAAGACTTCATTTCATCCTTACTGTAACTTGTGGCAAGAAGGTGCTTTGGCTCCATTTAATAGATGAGAAGACTAAGACTCATGTTGCCAAGAGCCTTGCTATGAGGCACACAGCAACAAAATAGTAGGGCTGAGAATGGACCCAGGTTTTCTGACTCCAAGTCCTTTCTTCCTTTGCCTGTTTCCCAATTTCATGCACAATGTCTACTTCTCTGATTGTTTCTCCATCTTTGATGGCATGGTATGCACCCAAACTTCCATAGATGAAATTAATTGGATTCAACTGAAGCCTGCCTAGAACTAAAATACATTTTTTGAAACCAGGTCATTTCTTTAAGCAGCAAGCAGTTATCACGTGCTTTTCAACACTGATAATATCACTGTGGGGAGCAGGGGTGGGGTAGGGTGTTATTTAATATGCCAGGTTAACTTGTCTTTAGCAAAAGAAGAGTGACATACTTTGGTACTCCTAATATGATGCTCAGAACCTTCAGGAGACATATTTGGAAGGGAGAAGAGGACATAATGTGATTGGGAATTTATAATTCAATGGAGTTGTGTGAATTATGCACAGAATAAAGGGGTTTCTGAAAGAAATCCAGATTTCCCTGGCATCCTGCACCAAATACCTCCTGAACACTGAAGCCCATGGTATTTTCAAATATGGATGGCTTTATCATTGAGGAAGAAATGAGCAGGTGCATAAGTCACATCCCAGAATGGCTCAGAGATGATTTTCCAGGCTGTTTAAACTAGAAGCACACATTTTGAATTTGAGTCTACAAATTAGATCTGGTTTATAGTATCATCAGACCTCTTTCATGATAGGGCAGGATTTAGTGCACATACAGGCAAGTGTTCTAGTATATCAGCATAATATTCCAGGCGTAGAGAGCATTGGAAAGATTCTATTGTAGAAGTAACTAAAGTTTCCCAGTTTTGTTTTTACAAACATTATGAAACTCAAAGTTTAATGGATATTTGCATTCTGCCTGCAAGACTTGAAGTTTGTTGGCCTCTCTCCCACCTCAATGTCTTCTCCAAGCACTGTTTCAGACCATTGTGAGAGTGGTCTGAACCCCAAGATCCAAAGGTCACATGTGAACAGGAAACTGTGGCTTCCACATAATTGGAACACCAATTGGACCAAAGATTGGTGACTCTGTGTAGTTAAAGCAGCTTGAGTGAGAGACAAGGGTGCTCATGAGGAGTCTTTAGAGGGGCTCATGGGTTCCACCACCCACCCTAAAAGAGGCCTTGAGTCCCATCTTTGGCATGAAATGCCACGTTTCTGGTCTAAGACTGTCTCACTGCCTACCATGCCAATCCCTATGTGTGTATCTAAGGAGGTTAGCACATCCTGGGTACACAGACCACAGCTTCCTCCCTCTGCTCAGGGCCTGTGCTGGGAGGTCTGAGCACTGGGGAGATATTGCCTTACTTCTCCTTAGGGTGTCCACATCAAGACCCTAGAGTCATCTTACCACCCTTCCAGATCAGAAGATCAGAGAGGTGTCTTGGAGGTAAGTAGTTAAGTGTCCTGATTGGGATTCCCAGAATGGAACATTTCATTACTAAACCCACAGATACAGACACTTGCATACACACACCAACAGGAAGCAGAGAACAGGCGTAAAATAGCCTGGTGACCTCCACTCCTGGGTCTCTACAGCAGCCTTGTGTCATCCACTCATTTTAAGTTTAAGGGACACATGACTCTTGAAGGCTACTTTTTAAACCCCTTACAATCTGTTATCTCATCTCCAGATTTTCAAGTTCCTTCAGTTGATGCCTTTCACCTAAATCAGCATATTTCAAATTGAGAGAGAGAGAGAGAGAAAGAGAGAGAGAGAGAGAGAGAGAGAGAGAGAGATCTTAGAAAATAAAACCCACAACCCCACCCAGATGATAAAAATCTCTTGAATTCTCTAAGCCCAAAATCTTAGCCTTCTCTCACCCAGCCCTGAGCGGGGAGTTGATTCCTTCAGGTTCTGGAAAACGGCCAACTCTGCCAGTCCCCACTTCACCAGCCTAATAGTTTTTCCAGACAAACTCCTGCATGGTGTTGCATGACAGCCTGAAAGCTAACTTCTGGTTCCATTCATTCCCTTAGGCCAGCTAAGGCCAGTCATGTTAGGGGGTGTCCCTCCTCTCTGCTCCTGGCCCCACTTTCCCCTTTCAGAGGGAGCAAACAGTTAGTAGCACTGCTGAAGTATGACACAGAACCCAGACCCTCTTGGTTCTCTGGGCTGCACTTTGCAATCTAGACCCAGGCGTGGCGGCGAGGATAGGGGTGTGATTGGCAAGGCAGGCGTGGGGCTATGGGCTCAGAACCCGCCACCGCAGGGGGACGGCTCTAAAGGGCGCGGGCCCCTTAGGGAGAAGACAGCTCGGGAACTCTTCTCCTGAAGCTGGCGCATGCTGGGGCGCGGAAGGGCTGGGGTGCAGAAGAGCTGCGTGGACCGAGGCTGAGGGAGGAGATTCCCTGCGGGAGAAGCGGCCAGGCCGGACCGTTAGTCCCGGGAAACCGGCGGCTGAGGATCGCTGAGCACCGGGCTACAGAAATACGAGAGGGAAGAGAAACCAGCCTCGCTGACAGTAAACAGCGTCTTCCATCTGGAAGATCCCGCTCTGGCAGACCCGCACGCACACTATCTCGCACCCTGACTTGCTTGCAGCTAGTCCACTTACTGGTCCCCGGGCCCTCAGGCAGAGAACCGAGCCGGTGGCGGCTGCTGCCCCCGCCCCCGCCGCTTTCGGCCTCTGGCGAGAGGAAGCTGGCCGTCAGAGGAGTGCCCAGCGCCGGGGCCAGGGCGCCCGGGTTGCTGGGTGGGATGGTAGACCCAGTGGTCTCCCCCCCTGGACTCTGATCGGCGCTCAGTGTCTCCAGGTTTTACGCCGCCCCCTCCCGCATCACGGCGGGCAGCCGGGTGGGAGGGGGCCGCCGACTGCACTTCGGCGCAAGGGGTGAGGGGGAAATCGCCCTCGGCGGGGAGTCTGGCCGGCCTCCCCGGAAAATGGGACTCGCCTCCGGAGCAGCAGAGGAGAGAGACAGCGCGAAGCCGGGGCGCGGAAGTAAGGAGAGCGGCCACGTCTTCCGGGACCCCGCCACCCCGCGCCCAGCCCGCCAGCCGCCCGCCCGCACCGGTCGGCCCCGCAGCCTTGTGCCCACTGCCCTGCAGCTTACCTTAATAGTCCCGTCCATTTGGCCAAGTCTGCAGCCGAGCCCCCCAATATTCCACACATTGACCCGGTTACAGCCTGACCTCGCAGCCCCTTCAGATTAGCCCGGCGCGGCCTCCCTGGCGCCCTGGGCCCTCCCTGAGTGCCCCCTGCGAGCGTCCTGCCCGCGCTCCCCTGTGCACGTTTGTTGTTGTAGCGGAGAGACAGTTAACCGGATGAAACTTTTTTTCAGCTAATTTTGGGAAGTGACTTCACTTTGCGATCGGGGAGGAAGTCCTATCTCTCTCTCTCTCTCTCTCTCTCTCTCTCTCTCTCTCTCTCGTCTCGCGCTCTCCTCTCTCTTCTCTCTCCTCTGCTCTCCCTTGTCTTCCCTCCCCCACACCCCCTCTTCCTCTCCTCCGCTAGTCCTGCTTTTCGCATCACACACTATATAAATATACGCGGAGATGCCCAGATACATTCAGGCACTGCGCACACAGGATACTTGCTCCTGGTAGATAAGAGCTGGCTAGGGAACAATGACAGGGTCCACGCCCAACGTCCGCGCCCTGATTCCCGCAGTCTGCAACGCTCTCCCTACCAACACCTTCCCCCTAAATCCATAGCCAAACGCCTTTGGCCCCTTTCCTTTTCCCGGGGCCGTTGGCTGAAAGTGGCGTTCCTGACTCATTCACTTTCCGTTTCTTCCCACAGATACGATCATTAATGCTTTTTCCAGCCAGAGTCAAAACTTTTTTGGGGATGGAAAGACAGCGGAAGAGTTTACTAGGACTGGGGATAACCTGGCGCCTAGTTCTGGAGAAGATCCGGACGCAGACCGAAGCAAACCAACCATTAAAAAATGCATCCAATGGGAATTTTCCCAATAGGGTCTTCCGCTGCTGAGACGCGGTGGACTCGCAGCTCACCCACGCGGATTCGGGGCGCTTTCGGGCTGACCTTGCCGCCAGGGGCGCGACTCGACACCCCGCGCATTGTTAGGAGAGGGGCGCCCTCTTTGCCGCGCGCCTTGTCTTTGGGCTTCTGGCGCAGGAGAAGTGCAGGCATCGATGGCACCCTAGGCCACCTACCCGCGTTTTCTTGGGCTAAACCCTTCGCGCTTCCCCGGACCCAACAGCCCCAGCCTGGTCTTCAGAGCTAGAGTCGCCCTTCCAATTTCACCTGGGTTCCCAAGGAACTGACACTACGGAAGGACTTGCCCTCCACGCTGGTCAGCAGGTTCCGGGAGCGCAGCACGCAACAGCTCAACACGGACCCAGACTTCTCCCGGGTGAGAGCTCAGGAGCCCGAGCCGGGCACTAGAATTCCCACCCAGCCGGGAGGCCGGCCTCCCCTCGGCCCACTTCTCTGTCTTGTCGTACCCCAGAGATCTCCCGGACCCCCTGCTGGGCTGCCCAGCTCTAGTTTGGGCACCCTTAGGGGTCCGGAGTTATCTGCCTGACTCCCTTCTCCCCGACCTCCAGAACAGGTTACCTTGTCCACGCTCTCCAGACCACGCTTTGGACTGTCTCACTTTTATTTAAGAATCCTCCCGGGGAAAAAGGGAAAAAAAAAAATCCAGTGGAGATCCGAGTAAAATGGAAAGAAAAAAATTTTCAAAAGGGTGTCCACAGCGGCAAAAAAGGTGACTTATTATGCTTTATTTCTTCAGGAGCTATTGAGCCCGAAAGCTCTCTCGCCTCCCTCCCTCCCCCTCCCTTTCTCGAAATTAGTCTCATCAATTCAGCTCCAATTTTGGGTTCGAATACAGACAAGAGTCTGAACGTGACCAGACCTGGAGTGGCGGGTGCAGCCTGCCAGCAATTGAGACTCGGTGTGCGTGTGGGGGGTGGGGTGGGGTGGTTGGTGGGATGGGGGCCGGGCCGACTCCCCCCTCCCTCCTGTCTGCTTCTCAATCCAGGGGTCTGCTCCGGGGCTCCCCTGGGACCGCCACATCTGGTTACCGCTAGCGGGGTCAGTCCCCCCCTTTGCCTGGGGCCACCAGTTCTGGAGTTCAATTAAAAGAAATCAGGCTTAACCCTTTCCTCCCCGCCGGCCGCCACCCGCCCTCTTGCTCTTCCCTTCTGCTTTTCCACATGCTTTCCAGAGAGGAAAGAGGTTAAAGGGAAAGGAAGAATGAATTACATCCTTTCAAACCCCAAATTGTTTCCTTTTCAGCCCAGACTCTACCGACCTTCAAACGACAACAGCGTTTTCTGGAGGGTGCTTGGAGACCACGACTCACCAGGACCTCACCAGAAACCCAAACATCCCTGCCACATTGCCTCTCCTTCAGCCAGAAAGGACCCAAGTTCACCACCAAGAGACCCCCTTCCTGGTACTGGGCACTCCCAGAGGCTTGCCACCCCACACGTGGCAACCCCTCCTTCCCCACACATGCACACTCCTAGCCTTCAGAAGGCCTTTTGTGACCAACCTAGTCACCAGTTTTCTCTCTCTAACTCCTGTGGACCTGGCAAATGCCAGTTGTCTTCACTACATTGGTAGGTAGTCACCCCAACATCCCTAGTATCCCCCAACTTCATTAAGGGCAGTTGCCTCTCCCTTTGGAAGTGTTGAATATGAAACTAGATGAAAACGAAGACTTGCCTGCCTGTCCGAGTTGTGAGCTGAATAGCACTTTCTGTTTCTGCCTGTGAAACCAAAGTTATGGCAATTTCGTAATTTTGGAGATGTGGTGGGGGAGGGCTGGCATAGGCATCACCCTGTGCATAGACTTCGGCATCATTCCCTCTGTGACTCATGAATTGGCACTAATGCTCCCTGTCTTTTACTATTTACTGGCCCCTCCATGAGGAGCTACTGCCCATTTACAGGGGTCTCCACCCAGAAAGAAGACCCCCTTAATTTTGAGCAGATCTCTGAGGGAATATCAGATTCTTTCCATCCCTTGTTGACGTGCTGGTGGGCAAGCTTGTCTTGCTTATGTAACTCTGGGTTTGATGCTCCACTCCATTGCTGCTGGTTCTTTTTTAAATCCCGAAGGGGGGGAAAGCCCTAACCAAACACAACAGTAAACAAGTCTGCCCTGCTTAATGTGGTTACCACCAGACATCTGGAAAGATGGTTTGATCCTGGCAGCTCACATTGTTTTCACGAGCAGCCAAAGAGAATATTTTGAATGTTTGCATTGAGACAAATTGATAGAGAGCCTGCGGTGAGGCTGCTATAAATGAAAACTGTCTTGTGTTGGGAAGAAGGCGTTCCCTGCCCTCTCTTCTCTCTCTACTCCTCTCTCCTCACTTTCTTCTTCCCTCTCCCCTCTTTCTGTCTCCCCCTCTCCCTTGTCTACTAGCCTAGCTTGGGAATGGTTGCCCCTGCCCACACACTTGTGCACACCCTCTTTCCTGGCTCACTAAGGACTGCCTGGCTTCACTCTTTCCCAGACTGGGCAGGGCTGGGGACCAGAATCTGGTATGGGTACCACTGTGCCCATTCCACCAGCCCATTCCTGGCTTTCAAGTCAGTGGACTCTCACAGCCAAGGACACTAGGCCAAGCATTTTTTTTCTTTTTAAGCTACCAACTGGAGAAAAAAAATACTCCGGCAACAAAACAGCCCACCTTCTATTTATACAACGCGAGCACACACGTGGGCGAATAGTCAGGAAATATATGGATTTGGAGCCTTATTCATTGAAACGTTGACGAGCGGACTTGCCCGGCACTATTCGCACTTGACAATATTTTCAAAGATGCGGAAGTCCTGCTTCCCCCGGGAGGGGAACGGCGGGGAGAAACGTGTCTTGGCTAGCTCAATGTCAGCCCTTTTGACCGGGTCAAGACTTTCCAGACACAGGCTTCCTGGGGGCTCCTTCGATCCCAGCCTGGGTCGGGGATGGGAGACCGACAACTGGAGCTGGGTCCCTGGGGTGCCTCCGGGACCCGGGGACAGCTCGGTCACTTGAAACTCAGAAAGATGCCAGGCCTGGCAGGGTGTCTCGGGCGGGGCCTTCCCCCTCTGTCCTCTCTCTTCCCCCGCTGCTGGTCCATCTCGGCAGCCGCGGGTATCCAAGCTGGCAAAGGGGGAGGGGAGAGGAGGGCGGGAGAAGCGGGGTGGGGGGGGGGTGGGGGGGGCAGGGGAGGGGGGGAGGGCGAGCGAGCGCCAAAACTCCAGACTGCACAACTGCAGCTTCAAGTGTCTGGCCTCTCGCTCGAGGCCATAATTAATTTGAGATTTATTTTTATTGGAGAACTCGAGTCTCGTCAGACCTTAGCCAAACAAGGCAGCTTGAGCCGCCCCTGGATGCGCTTGAATGCCGGGGAATATTTCTGCAGGAAGGCTCTGCAGGCGCGCCTGCTTTGAATTTGTTTCTTCGACTTCATGTACTCAAAGATTGAAGGAAGATTTAGAGCCTCTACTCGCCCTGCCTGCTCCCCACGCTCCTTCTTGCCTTAGCTCGGAGCGGGTTCAGAAAGCTACGTGGGAGGCCGCGGCTGCTGGGGCGGGCAGACCAGAGGGGGGTTGTCTCTGCGCCCAGAGGTCCAGGCGATCGGCTCTAGGGCCCGGCCCCTCTCAGACCACACGGCGTCGATGAAGAAGCCCCAAGGGAGTGCGAGGCTGACCAGAGAACGCAGACTGACAAGAGGTGGAGACCAGCCAGGTGTTGGGCCCCTTACCCAGTGGTGGCGCCAAGATGGGGACGGTGGAGGTGGGGAGTGGGCTCAGTTTTTCCAGACTCTGTCAGTCCTCTCCTCCCATTATCCCCAAACAATATTCACTCCAAGTACAGATCCGTGTCCTTGAATGCAGCTTCAGGACCTGCTGGCCAGATGTCACATCTGGGCGGTGTCTCTGAAACCTTCAGGAGCTAGCAACCTCCTTGATCTAGAGGGGCAGGAACCAGGGAAGGCATGTCCTCCAGAATGGTGCTTGGGCCAAATCTGAAGGCTGGTAGATGGAAGAGCAAAAGCAAGGCATCTAGCAGACACGCAAAGAGGGGGAAAGGAGGGCCCTGCCAGTCTTGCATGGGGGCAGCAAGTAGCCTGAAAGCAACTACAGCTTTGCATTCTGCTAGTGCTCCTACTCAGAAGGGTCACTCCACTGGGTCTCCTGGTCCCTCCCCTAACCCCATCTCCAAGAGGAGAATGCTGCCTTTGACTTCTGTTTAGACCACTAGGCTCCCTTGGTTTGAATTCCAGCTCTGCACTGATCAGGTTTGTGACCTTAGACAAACTCCTCAACTTCTCTGTGCCCCAGTGTCCAGATGGATCTCAAAGAGCTGTTGCAAAGAAGTGAGCGTTTTAGACTTGCCTGGCAGTCACAACTTTGCCCTTATCTTATGGATCTCGACTTTATCCCTCATAAACTCTATCACACTAATCTCTCAGTGCTTCATTTTTTCATCTGCAAACTAGACTACCGCATAAGGTCGTTATAAATATTAAAAATCAGTTAGTGTAAATACAATGCTCAGAACGGGGGTTGGGGAGGGTAAGAGCTTTGTGAGAAGTAGCTGTCAATGCTACCACCTTTGTGCATCTAAGACTGCCACTGCCTGTCAAGATCTTGAAGAATCACCTTCCTTCCTCTCTCTTTTCCCCAAGCTGCTTCCTAACCCATCTCTGCCAAAGCAATCCCCTGCGGTACCCCCTTGAGTGTTCTGTGGGCTCTTCAGAGCCCACAGTTCTGTCCAGATCTCCTCCTTGTGGAGAGGACAGCTTTGGCCCCTCGGGATAGGGGATTGTGGGGGACTCGGTTCCTGGAGCCCTGAGCCTGGGTGCCTGGGTCTGCGGTGTTTGTCAACAACCCCGAGCTGGGTACCCAACTGGGATCGGCAGGACTTGGCAGCTGGGGACTGTTTGTACCCCTCTGGCAAATGATCGGCGGAGGGAGCCGGCGGAACAGACCAAAGATTGTCCCTGCTGCGCAGACCTTTCGCCTTCATCAATGCACCCCTTTGTGCAACAATACAAACTTTGTGGTTGCTGAAAAATCCATTTTTTCCCCCTTGAAAAGAGCTCCTGCGGCGAGCGGCCCCTCTGGCGGCCCTCAGCTCCCAGATTGCCGCCTTCCCACCCCCTCACCCCTCCCACGTTTGTCCCTCCACACTCTTGGACCAGTTTGCTTTCCCCCTGACCCTCAGCCTGAGTCAGGCTCTGGGCTTCCATTGCCTCTTGGGGGAGAGGGCATCCATCATCCCTGAGATTCTGGTCCTGGAGTGTGCGTGGGAGAAAGACTGCAGCTCGCGTGTCGGGGCCATTTACGATCCTGATGGCATGGCTGGAGGTGAGAGCTCCTCAGGCTTGGCTCCATGTGCTGGGAGGGTGGGGTGAGAGGGTTTACAGCATCTGGAAAAACAGACACCCCGAACCCGTGTATGCTTTAGTGTAGTTTTAGAGTACGCTCTGGCACCTCCTGGGAGCCCTTTGTCCATCTCTCCATTCGCTGATTATTGACACATGGATTCGCTCATTTTTTCATTCATTCATTCTTTCAGTCATCATTGATTAAACACCAATTCCGGGCAAAGCCTTGGGGATGCGGCCTCCCCAAACTGACCACAGGCAGCTTCAGACCTCAGGCGGGGAGAAGGAAGATGCTCGCCTGAGTCAGCAAGTTTCCCTTTATGGAGCTCTGAAGAGGGTCGGACACTCAATTGGCTCTCCTTGGACCTGACCGGAGAGGCTCACGCCCTACTCTAGAATTCGCAGATGCTTGGGGAGCTCCTTTGAGTGGCACAATGGGTGGGGCCTTCGGGGCGGAGCTTCAGGATTGGCTGGGGGTGCAGAGCTGGACCCAAAGAAAATTTGGGTACATTTGCAACATCCGAGTGAGTCTAGCTCTCATCCAAGGCAGTCTCTATTAGTCCCGGGCTCTGGGCCTCTTCGAGCAGGCTAGCCGTCGGTCGCGGCTACGCAGCGTGAGGACCTGGCCACCATCCGAACTCTGGGCTGGGCCGCCGGGTATGCACTCTTCGCCCCGCCCCGCCAGAGGATTTTTCATTAAACGTGTAACCCAGATGTCCCAGCCCCGGTTTGTTTACATTCTTGGGAATTGTTGTGGAAGAAAAAAAAAAAAAAAACCTCTATATGCTGTCAAACATAGCAACGTTGTGAACTTTCGAGGGGCGGAAGAGGCAGAGAAGATTGGCTTGAGGGCTGAACCAGTGTCCAACCAGTGGAAGGAACTCATTGCGCGCTCACCCCTGCACACTGCAGCACACACGCACGCACACATGCAAAAGCGCACGTGGACAAACAGATACTTTCAGAACTGCACACCACGCTCACATGCAAATACAAACATACCCTTAACGCCGAGAACCTACTGTGGCGCAGAGCGCGCCACCGGTTGGGACCCTACAGAGGCGCGAGTTTCTTTCAGCACAACCTTTACCAGGCTCACCTGCCTCCAGTCTCCCAACAGAAGTTGTCAAGAGTGTTATTCCTAATACCATACCCAGGGGCTTTCCTCATTCCCCACTTTTCCAGGGGACAAGAGAAACAGACTGACGACCTAGGGTAAGGATGGAGAAGGGGTGGAGGAGAGGTTATTACCTGTTTAAAGACGCTGTCATGTCTTACCTTGACGTAAGACGATGTGTCAGGGACTGTCTGAAACATCCTGCGTTGGTGAGGAGGGGTCAGGAAGGCCCCAAAACCAACCTAAGTGGGAGAAACTTAGTCACCCAAGAGTGGAGCAAGGGTGAGGCAGCAGGGTGGTGGGGTGGTGGTGAGGAAACCCTAACACAAAGGAGAAGACTTACTCCCTTGGTCCTGTGAGGGAGGGTCCTGGTACAGTCCTTGCTTCCGGTCCCAGGGGACTTCAGGCTAGGTCTTGGTGTGGACTGAAACCAGCTCACACCATTGGATCTCTTCCCTACAGTTCCTTATCCTCTCCTGTGCAGTCAGAAATACTGGCTTTCCCTTCCGGAAAGAGCATGGGTAGTTGCTCCCTAGTGGCTGCTGGGGGTTGCTGGTTAGGGGACAGAAATCCACTAGGATAGAGGTAGATCTCCCCTTCCACACAGCTGAGGCTCCAGGGAACAGATAATTATAGAACTTCCAATTGGATTTAGGGTAGAAACCTGTCTGACTTTCCCAACACCCCACCACTGTGCCAGGCCAGCTGTCCCATCTTTCCTTCTGGAGGATGGACCCCTTAGGGAGAAGACTGAGTCAAGGTTCTGAGGTCTGTGAAGACTTCTTTCCCCAAACCACCTTCCATCCTGAAGAAAACAGGTTTTCTGCAACCACAGCGACAGTGACTATAGGATTTTCATTTTTAGTGGCAAATGAGATGTTTTCATAGGTCTTAATATTTGGACTAGAGGGAACAAAAACCACCTTAGGGTGCCAGGTGCCTGCATGAGCAGGTCTGTCCTCTCTTTGCCAAGTCTGGCGGCTGTCTCTCTCCTGTTCCTCTCCTTCCTTCTCGCAAACCATCTTTAACGTGGCAGCACACAGCTTCTCCTGCAGCCAATGTGTTTCTGATAAAGCACTTTTCTCCCCACTAACAAATTCCAGCTTTTTTTGGCTCCTGAAGCCACACAGACACACAGGAGTTCAGGGACAAGGTTTGCTTCTCCAGCTCAAAGAT